TGGGGGGCCCGAGGCACCTGCCCGTGGGCCCCGCTGACCCCGGCGGGCGGGTGGCCGGTCGGGCAGGAAGGCGGGCGCGCGAGGGAGCACTCACTGCTTCCTCTTCAGCTCCCTCGCGCACCGCACTGATGCCGGAGCCGGAAGATGACGTCATCTTCCGGCGCCGGCATCCCTACGCGGCACGCGAGGAAGCTGAAGAGGAAGCACTGAGTGCTCCCTCGCGCGCCCGCCTTCCTGCCCGACCGACCGGCCGCCCGCCCAGGAGCCCAGCAGTACCACTGGACCCCAGGGAATCCCCCCAGCACTCCAAAAGGTAAGGAGGCTGGGGGGATTACATTTAAAAAAATATATATATGTGTATGTGTGTGTTTGTGTATGTGTGTGTTTGTGTATGTGTGTGTTAGTGTATGTGTGTGTTAGTGTATGTGTGTGTTAGTGTATGTGTGTGTTTGTGTGTTTATGTGTGTGTTTGTGTGTTTATGTGTGTGTGTGTGTGTGTGTGTATGTGTGTGTTTGTGTGTGTATGTGTGTGTTAGTGTTTGTGTGTTAGTGTATGTATGTGTGTGTTAGTGTGTTAGTGTATGTATGTGTGTGTTAGTGTATGTGTGTTAGTGTGTGTTAGTGTATGTATGTGTGTGTGTGTTAGTGTGTGTGTTAGTGTATGTGTGTTAGTGTGTGTGTGTTGGGTGTGTGTGTGTTAGTGTGTGTGTTTGTATGTTGGTGTATGTGTTGTGTTAGTGTATCTGTGTGTTGGTGTATGTGTGTGTCGGTGTCTGTGTGTGTGTGTCAGTATGTCTGTCTGTCTGTGTCAGTATATATGTGTGTGTATATCTGTGTGTGTGTGTCAGTATGTGTATGTGTCAGTATGTCTGTCAGTGCGTCAGTATGTCTGTTAGTGCATGTGTGTGCATGTGTCAGTATATCTGTCTGTGTGCCAGTATGTCTGTGTGTGTGTGTGTGTGTCAGTATATCAGTCTGTGTGTGTCAGTGTATGTGCCTGTGTGTGTGTGTCAGTATTTCTCAGTGTGTGGGTGTCAATATTTCTGTCAGTGTATGTGTGTCAGTATGTTGATCAGTGTATGTGTCTGTGTGTGTGTGTCAGTATGTCGGTATATGTGTCTGTGTGTCAGTATGTCTGTATATGTGCCTGTGCATGTCAGTATGTCTGTCAGTACGTCTACCAGTGTATGTGTCTGTGTGTGTGTCAATATATGTACCTGTGTCAGTGTGTCTGTCAGTGTATGTGCCTGTTTCTGTATGTAGTCAGTGTATGCATCTGTGTATCTGCTTGTGCGTCAGAGTGTGTACCTGTGCATCAGCCGCAACTTTAAATACAAATACACCCCTCCATTCAAACTTCAACACTACATATAAAACACACTCCTGCATTGAAACGTCAACACTACATACAAGCACACTCCTACATTCAAAAACAAACACTACACATAAATGCACACTTGCATTCAAACTCCAGTACCACATACAAACACATTCACACAAACATACTCATACAAACACATGCTTACATTCAAACATACTAACATGGCTCAGTGCTAAATACAACCCTGCAAGCATGGGAAATTGGTAGAGTCCCAGCTGTCAAAGCATTGTTGGAGTTGCACGACAGATGGGGTTCTACCTTTAGTCCAAACTTGCAATTGGGGGTCCCAATAAAATTCATTCTACTTTAGTATCGCCACTGCGTTGGGATGGATGCCGTGATTGCATACCAGGGAGTGAGGGGCGAGAGCGGCAGGGCACAGGGGGCCCAAGCAAACACTTGCCCAGGTCCATTCGTTATTAAAGACGGCCCTGCTGCTAATACCTCTCCCTATACAACCAAGCATTTTGCTAGCATTTCCTGCTGCTCTATTACATTGTCTGCCTACCTTTAAATCATCAGAAATAATCACCCCTAAATCCCTTTCCTCAATTGTTGAGGTTAGGACTCTATCAAATATTCTGTACTCTGCCCTTGGGTTTTTACATCCAAGATGCATTATCTTGCACTTATCCACATTAAATGTCAGTTGCCACAATTCTGACCATTTTTGTAGTTTACCTAAATCATTTGCCAATTGGCTTATCCCTCCTGGAACATCAACCCTGTTACATATCTTAGTATCATCAGCAAGACCTTCTGCAATATCACTAATAAAAATATTAAAGAGAATGGGTCCAAGTACAGATCCCTGAGGTACCCCACTGGTGACAAGTCCAAGCTTCGAATATATTCCATTAACTACAACTCTCTGTTGCCTGTCACTCAGCCACTGCCTTACCCATTCAACAATATTGGAATCCAAACTTAAGATTGCAGTTTATTGATAAGCCTTCTATGTGCAACAGTGTCAAAAGCCTTACTGAAATCTAGGTAAGCAATGTCTACTGCACCACCCTGATCTATAATTTTAGTTACCCAATCAAAAAAATCAATAAGATTAGTTTGGCATGATCTCCCTGAAGTAAACCCATGTCTCTGATCTTGAAATCCATGTGTTTTTAGATGTTCATCAATCCTATCCTTTAACATGGTTTCCATCACTTTCCCCACTACTGAAGTAAGGCTTACTGGCCTATAGTTGCCCGACTCCTCCCTATTACCTTTCTTGTAAATGGGCACAACATTTGCTAACTTCCAATCTTCTGGGACTACTCCTGTTAACAATGATTAGTTTAAAAAAAACTGTTAATGGTTTTGCTAGTACACTACTAAGCTCTTTTAATAGCTTTGGGTGTATTCCATCAGGTCCCATTGACTTATTTGTCTTTACTTTTGACAGTTGAAATAGAACCTCTTCCTCTGTAAACTCACATGTAATAAACGACTCATTTATCCTTTTTCTCAACTGAGGTCCTTTTCCTTCATTTTCATCTGTAAATACAGAACAAAAATATTCATTGAGGCAGTCAGCTAGATCTTTATCCTCTTCTACATACCTTCCTTCTTTTGTTTTTAATCTAACTAATTCTTGTTTTACTTTTCTTGTATCTAAAAAATGTTTTGTCCCCCTTTTTTTTACTGACTGTGCTATTTTCTCTTCTGTGTGTGATTTGGAAGCTCTTATAACTTGCTTAGCCTCTTTCTGCCTATAGATCATTTTGTCTTCCTCACTCTGGGTTTTTTTTATAATTCCTAAATGCTAACTTTTTGTTTTTAACTATTATTAACATCTGCGGAGTACCACAGCGGTTTCTTGAATTTTTTGCTTTTACTGACAAGCCTAATGCAATTTTTTGTTGCCTTCAGTAGTGCAACTTTTAAATAATCCCATTTCTCTTGGACTCCATTTAAATTGCTCCAGTCTGATAATGACTCCACTACACATATTTTAATTTTAGAAAAGTCTGTTTTTCTAAAGTCTAAAACATTTGTTTTTGTGTGGTCTGACTCAGTCACTGTTCTTATATTAAACTACACTGACTGATGATCACTGGATCCTAAACTTTCACCTAAAGTAATATCTGATACCAAATCTCCCTTTGTTAACACTAAATCTAGTATGGCCTCTTTACGAGTTGGCTCTTCAACAACTTGTTTTAGAGACAATCCCAGTAGTGAGTTTAGAATATGTGTGCTCCTGGCACAAGTAGCTAATTTTGTTTTCCAATTTACATCAGGAAGATTAAAGTCACCCATGATGATAACTTCCCCCTTCATTGTCATTTTAGCTATTTCTTCAACTAGTAGATTATCTAACTCTTCAATTTGTCCTGGGGGCCTATAAATCACACCAACACGAGTTACTGTGTGATTACCAAATTCTAACGTAGCCCAAACGGACTCTATGTTTGTCTCACTAACTTTTATTAGGCTAGATTTTATGCTATCCTTCACATACAGGGCCACCCCTCCCCCTTTCTTACCTTCCCTATCTTTTCTATATAAAGAGTACCCTGGTATTGCTATGTCCCAGTCATTTTTCTCATTATACCATGTCTCAGTAACAGCGACTAAATCTACACTATCAGTTGCCATTATTGCCACAAGTTCATGAATCTTATTCCCTAAACTGCAAGCATTTGTAGACATGACTCTAAGCTTATCATTTTTTAACACACTTGCTACAGGCACCTTCTGTCCTTGTTTTGGTGGACAATTGGATTGATGTTTTATCACCCTTTTGCCCCCCCCTCCTAGTTTAAATACATCCTAGCAAAACCTCTGAACTGCTCACTGAGAACATTTGTTCCCTTTTGAGAGAGATGCAAACCATCTTTTTTGTACAGCTTATTTCCATTCCAAACAGAGCTACCGTGAGAAATAAAGCCAAATCCTTGCTCCCGACACCACACCATTCACCAAGCAACAAATTAAAGTCCCTAAAACGCATCCGCTTGTCTTTCTGAGTGTTATGCACAGGCAGAACTTCAGAGAATGACAGTGTGGAAGCAACCTGCCGTATATCATTGGCAAAAACACTAAAAACTTCCTTAACCTCTGAAACCTCATTGCAAGCCAAGTCACTTGTCCCTAGATGGACAAGTACATCCAATTCCCCTTCCTGCTTTGCTCGCTTAACAATATTACAGATACGTCTCCTATCTCTGTGAGCAGTAGCTCCGGGAAGACACCTCACAAGACCACCATTGTCCATCTCCACACCTCTTATGATGGAATCCCCCAACAACAACTGCTTTCTATTAGGCCTCACCATAGTCTCCAAGTCGGTCTCCACAACACCACTAGCCTCAGTGCCTCTCTCCACAAAACCACTAGCCTCAGTGCCTCTCTCCACAACACCACTAGCCTCAGTGCCTCTCTCCACAACACCATTACACTCTGAAAGTGCAGAAGGACAGTTTGGAGAACCCAAGCATCTGAGGTTAATCTGCGCCAAGCATTGACAAAATGACCTAGTCTGCCCCCACCGATATCAAAGAAAATTGGTATGAAATTGGACTAACCATAAGGCCGTCATCCATACGAAGAACCTCTGGGTCCACGAGATTGCCAAGGTCTGCCTTAAACCCGGAAAAATGGTTAGGTGGATTTGAACTCAGGTGCCTGAAATCTGGAGTGCACAGAGCCACGAGAACCCAGGTACGAACTCTGGGAGGAACAGGCGGGCAGACGGCCCCGATATCTGCCGGCCCTGTGCACTTTCTGGGAGAACTTTCTGGGAGAACACTTGCTTCGTATTAGCTTGCGCCTTATCTAGTACCATGAACGTCCCTACATAGGAGCCCAACTCCTCCACAAATTTGTCTCCAAACAGGAGGCCCTTTGCCTGTGACCTTGGCTCTGATATAGCTAGATTTACTAGCTTAGGTTCAATCATAATAAGTATAGCCTTACGTCTCTCCATGGATAATGCCGTATTGGCAATGCCAATTAGGCATATGGACCGCTGGATCCACCCCCTGATGGCTAGCAAATCTGCAAGGGTCCCCTTTGCTAAGGCTGTTTCGACCATGTTGAAAAATTTTGCACTTGGCCCTAGGACATCCAGGATTTTATCCTGGCATTTGCGCAAGGAAAAATCCAGTCCTTTCTTGGCCTTCCACCCTGCTTTGCCCAAGAGTGGTTCACCTTGAGGATCAAGACAGGTGGAATCATCCACCACGGCCTTTGGGTCAACCCCAGACCCAGTCAAGGAACCTTGTTCATGGAAAAATGCTCCTGAATTGTACAGGTCTTCATCATCAGACTCACTCAGTATCTCCTCCTGTTCCGACTCGGTTTCGGAAGATTCCATTAGGGCTTTTGCCCTCTTCCAACTCCTCACCGATTTTGCCTGGTGGGTGGCTCTTAATTGTGGTGCAACCACATCATCTGTGATAGGACATACCCTGTCCGTCTGAAATTTTTTGGAGGCATCATCGTCTAAGTGACTGTCAGGATACTAGTTGATCCAGCATGCAGAACTGTATTACACCTAGGACTAACGGTAACATCTTACCAGGCCTTAGAATGGCCAGACTTAACGTACCAGAGAATAGTCAGAATACTTGCAGAGGTCGGGGACACAGAATGAGACACAACGATGAGGGAAAGCCAAAAGTCAAGGGTACCAGAATACAGGGAAGCCAAACAAAGCCAAAGTTGATAACCGGAAATAAACGCTCAGGAACACACTCTCGGACAACCACTAAGGGAAACCACGACAGAGCAATGAATAAAGGCAAGAAAGGAGTTTAAATACGTCTTCTTTAAATCCGATTGGCTGTACCCGGCCTCTGACCCCAGAACATGCGTGCTTATCCTTTGCGTGACGTCATATGCACATTGACATCATCAATACCATAGGTGGACGTGGGGTTATAAATTGATATGGTTCCACAGCGGCCGGTGTCTTTCAATATGCTGCAGGAGTCAGACACACTGGCACAGGGCTGCCGACCAGCATCTCCACCAATGCCCGGAAGGTAGTTATCCCCAGAGACACCACAAGGTGAGGATGAACAGGTGACAGTGACAGGATATTCTGGCCAATTTACGCACACTGGGAGCAACCGGCTTACTCTCTGGGGGATTAGGAGAAAGGAGCATAGGTGGCTTCTGGGTGGACATTAGGGCCTGTGTGACAGAGTGTGAGATGTTTTTAGACATGGTCCCCATAGCCGTAAAGATGGTCTGTGTCACTGATTTTGTCATTGCAGCATCTAGGAGAGAATGAAACTCCTCAGAGTTCATTTGCTTCTGTAAGGCTTCATCTGGCACGGGTTATGCAGTCTGGTCCCCACTATAGGTGCAGAATCTTTAGGGCCACTAGTAGAAGACCTGGTAGTGGGAAGTTCTGACACCTTCTGAGACTGCATGGTACAATATATGTACACAGAAGCGCAGGGAAATATAAGGAGAGACCTGTGAGTAAAGGGCAGGGAATTTCGCACAGTGTGTATTGGAAACGCTAGAGGTAAGAAACTTGCAAAATAATAGGAGGTATACTAATATGGCACAATAGTCTATATGGCACAAGTAAACAACAAGAAGAAGGCAAGCTCACCGAGTGTTCCCTCGGGAATAGCTCCTTTGGAACACCATGAAGCTACCCAGCAACACAGACGACCAATCGGCTCACTCCCGCCAACACTTGCGATATGTGCATGCACGAGCAGCGCTGGCCCCACAGGATCTAAAAATACAATCGTGACCCGCTAGGACCACAGAAACTAGCGGTACCCGGCTGGAGAGGGATCGCATGTGTAGGGCAGGCAGCGGAATAGAGTGCAGTGTGTGAGAACGGTCAGGAAATAGACAAACTGACCGGGGAAAGAGGGGTGGCGGCATGATGGGAGAAGGGAATTGACTGTAAGGAAATTAAGGGAATAAGGGGAAAAAAACTGAATTCTCAGCCAGAAATGACAAAGGAAACAGTAATTACAGAAATAACATCAAAATACACACAGTTATATATGAGAATACTACAATTAATACAAAGGGTAAGAAAAATTGTACTTAGCTGAGGAGGCAACAGCAAAGAAAGACGAGTGGCTTAAGGTCACATGGGACATTATGGTGCTAAGAACAGTCACATTAGATAACATGTTTATTGTGGTTAACCCTTTGGGTACATGTTTGTTTTTCCTTTGAATATTAAGTATTCTTTATTTGCTGTTGAGGAATAAAAGAAAGAGATAGGCATAATATGAGCCTCTGTTTCCTTTAATAAAATTTATGCCACATCTCATAGGCTCTGCCAGTGCTCTCACACTAGTTCTAACACGTGTTCATAGGAGCAGATTAATGAGATTTGATCAATCAGTTCCTGATCTGGGGGAACATGACTCAAAGACCAATTCCTAGCTAATAGAGCACTTGCTGCTATCAACTTGTGCATGTCAGTTTTGCATGAGACTTTGGTATGTCATGGGGAAATATACATTTCTGCAATGCAATGATAATTGATATAGTGTGGATAAGTGGATCAAGTGTAGTACCCCTTCTCAAAAGGTTTGGCATACGGGGGGAAAGTCCACTACATATATAATAATAACCTCTTTCAGATTTGCATCTCTAACAAGTTTTGTGAGGTTATGTGTTGTAACCTTGCTGGTATTAAGTGTAGCGGAACTCAGTACTCAGTTTACCTCCATTGAAGTTTTGTTATTCCATGAGAAATCACACTTCAGTGATTGTAGCTCCCCACTAGACAACAAACAGCACTTTATATAGGAACAACATCAGCAAGGGGTCACACATAAGAACAATGGAATACTGCCCTGGTGTACCTAAGTCTGAGAGATAAACTAATTACTGACAGTTAATCTTTTTAATTCCCCAGGCTCCAGGGTGGCCTAATAATAAAGCAGTGTAAACATAACTTACACATAACATAGACATATAAGTCATACAGATCGCCCAGATCGCATGTGCCCAGCCTGAGAAATCGTCACCATGCTAAGGTCATATCTTGATACTGTAGGAGCGATTGTTAGCTGGACTCTTCTCTTCCTCCCATCAACAAAGTGCTCTTTTAGATGTTAATTTGAGGGAGTAGGAATGGCCGTTAGTTTCACCTGGTGGACTTAAAGTTCCATGAAATTTCCTGCTGGACATGCTGGAGCTTTTTCGGCTGTCCCAGGCTTCTGGAACTGTTTTGCTGCTGGAAGAGGGAGCACTTATTGTGAAATAGGCTAGAGGAGGGTAGGAGGGGGCAAGGGGTGAATAGCTTTTTTGCAGATTTGTGTTTAGGAGTCCTTAGGATCTCTTTTGCAGATGTGTTTAGGAGTTGTGCACTGGTTAACCCACATTTCTGGCGCAGGATCTGTCATATTAAGTACCTATATATAATTTTACAGAGAAGTTCCAGATGGGAAGCACATGAGGTGAAACCTCAGTAAGCTCTGAACATTTTGGTCCACACTTTCTGGTCCAGAACATAACATAAATCCCTATGCCAGGACTCCTTCTACTTGCTCCACCCCAATCCTATTCACAGAATCATAGCAAGTGTACAACACCTTATTTGTGCTGAAGGCATATTTTTTTTGAAAGTAGTAAACTGGGAGCCTGCTTCGTCAGGTTGAGAAGCAGATTGAACATATTTTGCTAAGGATTTAAGTTGCAAAGATCAAATCAGGCTTTTGATGGTAATGCATATTTGGCATGTAGTTCTGCATATGGCTACATGCATTGTACACTTGGTATAAGTGGGTAAGTCCAAAGATTTCCCAAATCTTATAGTTAAAGGTTGGTACCCCAAGATGAAGGGAATATGTAGGGGTGGTTTGCACCAAATTCCACATATGTAGTGTGAGCTTAGTTGATAGCAGCATCCTGTTCATTTTTGGTCTCAGACGTTTAGGGATCAAGAAAATATAGTACATACCTCTGTGTTCTGCCTATTAAAAATATTAATATAAATCCATTGAGGTGATGTAGGAGAGTAGTGTGCTTCTACCATTACCCCTACATGTGCAACATTATAATAGTTTTTTAAATTAGGTAATTCATATTTGGGTAACATTTTTGTGAAATACTCTTTAATCTACTGAAATCTGTTCAGAGGAATATGTTGCTAGAGAATATAACTAAAGTGTTATGTAACTCTTTCAGTGTCAGATAAGTTGTTTGTGTTGGCATCTAAAAGTTTAATATAAAAACTTTGTGATCTGACCGCACATAGACCTTCATACCAAGCTCTCATTGTATCAGCCTGCAAACACATTTTAAAGGAGCCACAGGGTTTATACACTTAACTGTGATGCATGAGTTGATTATCACACTTAGACCAAAACTACCAAGGGCTTACTAATTTTAGTACCTAAATGTCTCTTGCTAATTTTAGTACCTAAATGTCTCTTGTTAATGCGCTACAATCCACTTAAGTGAAAGTAATCAATATTAAATTGCACAATTTATACAATTGCACATCACTTGATAAAAACTAAAGTAAATAAACCATCTACTAAAATACTGTGAAATCAACAGTTAGTTGTTACTAAATAAGTAAACATATTTTTAGGAGGACACGTCTCAAAACAGGCAATACAGGCTTGCTGTCACACTACTGTCTCATGAAAGGAAAATGTGAGGAAAATGTGACATTCGAAAATGTACTTTAGTGCATTAATTCAAAATATATTTTCTCTGCAATATCTCACTGTATTATTTATCATGATTATACTGTAACACTTTGTGCTACTATGAACATATTTTTCAGGTGATTATAAATGATTTCTGAAGCATGCACAAAATATGCAGATAGCAGATGTAAACATCTAAATGAGACAATGCTTAAAGCAGCACTGTCATGGCCGAATCCAGTTTTATTTTAACCCCAACCCTCCTCCTGACTCTACTACATCAATTTGTCCCCCTAGTCACCCCCATATCCCCTAGGCCCCCATATTACATATTTTTTAATCTTTTTTTCCAATGTGTTTTATTTTTCATTTTAAATTGTTCATGAAAGAACAAAGGAAAAAAAAAAACGTGGGTACAGAAGGAAAGAAGGGAAGGGGAAGAGAGCTTTACATATATTGCATCATTCTATACAAATGCGTCGATAAACACTTTGTAAACAGGTTAAAATAATAGTGACAGTTGGCATTTTGTCCAATATACTTCCTAGCATTAATAGTTATACAGTTATACAGTTTTATGCCGGGTCCTGTTCCCTGGCGCTAGCTTGGTGCCTTTAGCCCAAACTGCGTAGGGGGGAGAGGTGGAGGGAAGTGGGGCTTCGCTGGTGCTCCATGCCATCTGAATCCGTCTTGATGGAATGTATTGTGCTCGATTTCTTTTTGTAGG